GCACTCCCCGCACCCTTTAATATCCCACCCAGACCAGTCCCACTCTCCCCATCACCCTTTAATATCCCACCCAGTCTAATCCACTCTCCCTCGACACCCAATCTAATCCCATCACTCTCTGAGAGACTCTGTCCTAAAAGGGTGACTTCTAATTTTTAGCGGAGTCCCCTTCATTCCAGACTGAGCCACAGGAGGAAACATCCTTTCCACACCCACCTTGTCAAGAACCACCCCCCCACTTCGGGATCTTATACTCTTCAGTCAGTCACCCCTCACTCCTCTAAATTCCAGTGGAAACAGGCCCACTCTGCGCAATCTTTCCTCATAAAACAACATTCCAGGTATCGATCCCAGTACAAATCTCCTCCGAACTGCCTGCACCCTCAAATTAGGAGACCAAAACTGCGTGCAGTGTTCGGGATATGATCTCACCAATGCCCAGTAAAACTGAAGCATAATATCCTTCCTTTGAAGTTCAATTGCTCTCATAGTAAACGAGAGTATTCCATTCACTTTCTGTGTTACTTTCAGTACCTGCCCAGCTTTTGTGACCCCTGCAGATCCCCCTGCGCCTCAGAATTCTGCAGTCCTTCTCTGTTTTACTTATAGAGGTTTATAAAATCAGGAGGGGCTTGGATAGTGTAAATAGGCAAGGTCTTTTCCCCAGGGTGCAGGAGTCCTAAACTAGATGGCATGGGTTTAGGGAGCGAGGGGATTGATTTAAAAGGGACCTAAGGGCAACATTTTCTCACAGAGGGTGGTGAGTGTATGGAATGAGCTGCCAAAGGAAGTGGAGGAGGTTGGTACAATGACAACATTTAAAAGGCATTTGGACAGGTACATGGATAGGAAGGGTTTAGAGGGATAAGGGCCAAAAGCTGGCAAATGGGGCTAGATTAATACAGGATATCTGGTCAGCATGGACAAGTTGGACAGAAGCACCTATTTCGGTGCTGCACAACTGTACGACTCTAAGTAAGACTGTTTCTTCCTGGGGTTGGTTAGTTCCGTTGGCTGGATGGCTGGTTTGTGACAGAGTGACACTAACAGCACGGTTTCAATTCCTGCCCTGTCTGAGGCTGCCACGAGGAACTGTCCTTCCAAACCTCTGAGGCATAGTGACCCTCAGGTTAAACCCCCACCAGTCGTCTCTCTGCAATGAGAGATCGGCCCTGTCGTCTGAGCAGACTGTGGCAACCTTTTTACTCAACGCTTTCTAGTCTTCCTGCCAAAAGCGAACAGCTTCCGATTTTTCCCACATTCTACTCGACTAGCCACTCCCTCGAACTATATATTTCCACCCGCGACCTCGTCATTTCTTCCTCACAACATACTCTCCGATGTACCTTGAGGTCAAGTTACCCATTCCAGGTATTAAACTGTCTCTGAGCTACCTCCGACGCACGCACATTGTTACTTACTTGAGGAGACCGTATTATACACAGTTCTGGCAGACATGCACTAACGTTGCCAGGATATAAGTGAACATTGCACACCCTGACCCACCTTCTCGTACACGATCTGGGACTTGTGTTGCCTATCTGCAGCCAGGTCCCGCCACTCCACCAGCCACTGCAAGAACAGGGGATTAGGGCAGGAGGGGACCAGCTCCTCCCTTGCATACTCTGCCACCGGGGCAAACATCTGCACAGCTTTACCAGCGCCAAAGTTTGGGTCTTCAGATGGAGCTGGGGAAGGCAGGGGAACAAACACAGAGAGAGTGCTGTTACCAACTGTGACAGACAGCAAAGGCGCAAGCCTGGGAGACACAAAAGCCTCGAAACAGCACACAGAGGGAATATGTCTCTCGGTCACGTAGTTGTATGGCTGCTCATTGGCGGACCCTGCAGCAGTGCAAACAGTGAGTGATCCCCAACAATGCACTGCTCCCTCAGCACTGACCCTCCGACAGTGCGGCGCTCCCTCAGCACTGACCCTCCGACAGTGCGGCGCTCCCTCAGCACTGACCCTCCGACAGCGCGGCGCTCCCTCAGCACTGACCCTCCGACAGCGCGGCGCTCCCTCAGCACTGACCCTCCGACAGCGCGGCGCTCCCTCAGCACTGACCCTCCGACAGCGCGGCGCTCCCTCAGCACTGACCCTCCGACAGCGCGGCGCTCCCTCAGCACTGACCCTCCGACAGCGCGGCGCTCCCTCA